AAGCTAGATAGTCATAATTCACTCTTCCAGTGTTACTTCCATTACACTATACACATATTTCTTTTTCTGATCCTTTCCTTTGTTCCTTTCTTCTACAAATGAATGAAAAATGTAAAATCCCACTCCTGGTAATAAAACCCTGGGCTCACTTACTATTTTGCTTTGTAACCAAATACTGTGAATAAAACTAACCTGATTAGCTTCTCTATTCCTCCAGGGAGATGCTGTTGGAGCAGCTTATTTAATCAGTCTGGATGCCCTTGAAAGCCCCCCCTCCCCCACACTCCAACAGACTCTTCCAACCACACATTCAATCACTTCCTTCTATATGAGGCCATCACCTGGTCATCACTCCAAAGCACCTCATATATCCCCTTTTGTATATCAGCTCATTACTTCTGCAGGAGCTTCTTCTCCTCCGCTACTATGAGCAGACTAGCACACTAACTAGGTGTTGTTCAGATCCTTAAAGAGAGGCTCAAGGAAGAGAGCTAAGAGTTGGGGAGGTGAGGAGAGGCTCTGAGCAGGGAGCTGTATGTGTGTCTTTATGGGGGTAGACAGGGAGGGCGGAGGGGGTCAAAGCCTCCCCCTGAGATTTGTACATGGGGAGGGCTTGCTCTTCCCTTTACTACTCCTAACAAGGAGTGAGAGCAAAATGCACAGCTTGTCTGCCCCCTGTGTTCCCCAGGCAGGGTGAGGACTGCCACAAACTGTGCACTTTCTCCTTAATCCCTGACAAAGGGGAGTAACAGCCAGTGTCCCCATTCAAATCTGGGGGCGGACACTTCAGCCTCTTCCATACACTCTCCTTAAACAGTACCTGGGAAGTGTGAGGCTTGGGGCTGCAGTTAGGGTGGCCAGGTGTCCAGTTTTGAACTGGACAGTCCAGTATTTGAGCTTTCTGTTCAGGAAACAAATTGAGAAAATACAAATGAGAAAATAGAAATGTTGAGTATTTTCTAACTAAGATGGAATGTTGATTGTGATGTCATGTCAAGTGTGTCTGGTATTTTTGTTGAAACCATCTGGCAACCCTAGCTGCAGCAGACCTGAAAAGGAGGGGACATGCCCCAGCCAGTTCCTTTCATCTGAGTGGTGATTGTCTTTTCTGTATGGTTTTATAAGAAGCTTCTGTCCACTGTGGACCCAGGCATGCTGCAGTAGGGACTGCTCCTACCTGGTCCTATGTTTAACCAATTAACCCAGCGTTTCTCAAACTGTGGGTCCCAACCCCTCGGGGGGTCACGAGCAACTGAGAGGCTGGTTGCAGCAATGGGGAGAGGTGTCGCGAGCAACTGAAAGGGGGTCATGATATCACAAGTTTGAGAACCCCTGAGTTAACCAATTAAATGGAATGTTACATCCCTATTATACGCTATGCCCCACTCTCTGGTCAAGCTCATTGGTATAGAAAACAACAAATAGTTCTGTAGCACCTTAGAGACTAACAAAAAATGTAGACGGCATCTTGAGCTTTCATGGGCACAACCCACGTATTCAGATAAACTTCTTCAGTTTCATCTGAAGTGGTTTGTTCCCATGAAAGCTCATGATACCATCCATATATGTATATATATAGTTTCTAAGGTGCTACAGGATTATTGTTGTTTAAAAAAAAAAATTCAGTTAGCAACTAACATTGCTACTCCTCTGAAACTTTTGAATATGCAAGGTACAGAAAGATTATACCATGTGTTGAACTAGAAACACCGATCACTTAAAGTGGAAGAGCAGCCTGTAATTTTGAAGCCCATCTTTACCATGAGTATGTGTATGTATGTATATATATCTATACATACATACATACACACACACACAGCAGACCCTCACTAACTTAACAACGCAAATCTGATACGTCACAATTCCCATACACAACTCAGCTGCCTTCATCATCTCTCAGCATAGATTTTATGATACAGTGCTGTGCATATTACTATGGCTCTAAGATTTTTGAAAACACTATAGAACATTTACTGTGATGTAATAATCTTATAAATATTTCCAAAAGTTTGTTTGTTTGTTTGTCCTGAAAGATCTCTGAAATGGTAAGAGCTAGAAACACCAAAATTTGCACGGATACTACTGATTTCCTAACTTAAATAACTGGATTGGTTATATCTCGAAATCGGTTCCCCCACTCAAAGCCCCATTTGGGCCCACTGATAATTAGATTTTAGTAGCACCTGATCATAGGCATTTGCTGTTAAGCATCTTCTGTTAAGCATGTCACATAAACTGCAACTACGAGATCCTAGAGGATAAAGCATGTGGGCACCTGCAGCACCATCAAGGGAAAGCCCATGTGGGAGAGGCTGCAGTGGGGCAGAGAGTCAGCTCCCTGCCCCATACTAGGGTGCCAGCAGGTCTCCAGGACAGACCCAAATGTGGCTAATGCTGGCTGGGGTCTAGCCTTGCTAAATGTGTCTGGGAGAAGCCTCCAGCTATTACAGCCTCTTCACATCTTTATGCCGACGTGCTC